GTTTAAGATCCCCAATCGAGGAAATTTTACTCTATTTACGGTCTGCGAACATAGAAATCTGGGTAAGGAATTTTGTTAACCCGGGAGAAGGTGTTAGGCATTCCTGAGTTCCGTGGTTCTAGCACGGTCGCTTTGATCATACTTGGCTTATTAAATTGTCTAATTACTGATTTTAGAACCTATGTGCATTTACCTTTCACCGCTTTTTAATTAAGAAAATTATCTTGAAACGGGTCACGCGTACGTGTACCCGTTTGTTTGGTGCGTCAAAAATCACGTCACGCGAACATGTCCGCAATTAATAACGCTTTATTATTATTAAGAAAGTTTTGTCGAAGTTGCGCGAACGCATACTCCGATTTTGTTTTTAGAAATCGTAATCATGTCACGTGAACGTGTCCACGACCACGATAGTATATTAAATGTGCCTAAAGCAACCTACAACCATTTGTCATTTTTATGTCTAGGTTATTAGCACGAGGGCCATGTATGATTAAATTATGAATGTCGCAAAAAATTAGCTGGAGCCTTCTTTGCATCAATTCTTCCATAATTACATATGCTTCATCTATTCTACCCACTTTACCAAATCCGTCTACTAGACTACTATATATAACCACATTTAATGGAATACCTTTAGATTTTCGTTCAGTTATTAACTTAGTAACAAGACCAAATCAAAAAATGGGAGAAAACAAAAATGCTAATTTGATATCCACATTTATTCATCTCCAAGCTCGATATTAACATAGACAACACAAATATTACAAAGTAACAAACACAAACAAATTACACAAGAAACGATAAATAACATTAACATGTGAATTTCCAAAATGGCAGAATCTCAGGCCCAAACCAGTACAAGATGAACTGTAAAGCGAAGGTCCAAATTTAACCAAAAAAATGGACCTTAGTTAAGCTTGACTTGCCGAAATTGTGAACCGGCACCTCGAATCGACATCGGAACTAGAAAACTCGAACAGAAAAACAAAATGCTTTGCCGGAATCCCTGCAAAACTCGACCAAACCTCTTCGAACCCGGCTACAACGGACACCTCGAATCGATTTCTTTGACTTTGGACTGGAATGCTCAACTTCAAAACAAAATCGAGCAGCTCACCTCCATGATTTCCGATATGAGTGAAGCTTTGCGTAACAAGTAGTTTTGAAGCTCAGAGAATCGAATGGTAACTGACTGGTTATGGGGTTAATATTCGGTAGATTTCATGGCTATTTTTGCTGGAGATTTTAGCTATGTTTGGGGCTGTTTTTTTTAGCTTGTTCTTGGAGTTGTTTGAGAACGATTTTGAGCTGAATTTTCGCTCGTGTTTCTGGCCAGATTTCGGACTATTTTTTTAGGCTGCTTAGAGGTGGTTTCAATGCTAGTTTATGAGGAGTTTTTCAGCTCATTTTGGAGCTTTATTCGGCTGCTTCAATGGAGTTTAGGGGGGTGTTGAATGGAGGTTCATGTCTGTAATTGGAGGAGGTCGTCTGGTGTGATTGGCGTCGAAGAAGACGAAGCTTTAGGGGGGATTCATCTCTTTTGTGTATTGCGGCTGTCAGCTTTTAGTCTAGGGATCTCTTATTTTTTGTGTATTTACATTAGATTTTTAGGCATTAGTCTAGGTTTTAGGGTAATGGGGGGTTTTGGGCTCAAGTGCTAGTTCGAAATTGGGCCATTTTCTTGACCAAAGTTGAGCTAAAATTATCTTGAATTAACTATCAATTGGGCTTCTTAAAAAATCTGGATTTCTTTAACTAAGGGCCTAAGTTTTCCTTATTTAAAATAGTATAAAGCATTTATAAAAATATAAAACTACTCCTAATTAATTAAAAAACTATTAAAGATAAACCTAAAATGAAACTAGTTTTTTTTGTTGTTGGTATTTTTCAAGATTAGAAATGAGTACAAAACATTAATGAAACTATTTTTTTGTAATTTTTAATTTTTCTGATAAAACAAAGTAAAAGAGTCAAAATTAGTTGAAATAACTATATTAGGCATAAACTAAATATTTACATGCTAAAATATAAAAAATCTTGGGGAGGGTCAAAAATCACATGTCTACAGCTGACCCTCTTTGACTGGGAACGCGAAGAGTTTTCAGACAAAGAACGACTAGACAGGTTTTTGACCCGACCCTTATTTAGAGAGACCAAAAGCTAAAAGAAAGGAGAATGTGACCGAGCCCTGGTATCTGAGATGCCTACATATCCTTGGTTATAAAGGAATCAGACCACGTGTAGTTCAGAAGTAGAAATAGTGATGGAATATACTGAGGTGGAGAGCCGGTCGAGGTGCCGTTCCGCCGAGGTTCTGGTCTGTGGTCCTGTTATTACATCAAAATGAAAAAATGAAAAAGACTAGCTAAGCCTGTCAACTATGAGTTACAAAATTCATATCTATAAGTCTTCTGAAGCTTGATCTTGAGTCTTGAATGATTCTTCATGCGGACTTTGGATTTGAACCTTGACGCCTGCTAGTTGCAGGTGCTAGTTCATTCTTCTTCGGCTTTTCGGATCAAAATCGGACATACCATGTTTGTGGTTTCAGTCTTGTCTTGAGCAGCTCACATCTTTCATCAACTTTTGCATTTGGATTCACTTCTTGCCTTTTTTTTTATTCTGGATTGTGACTAACTTCTGTTGATCACCTCAGACTGTTGACTCGCGTTCTTGTCGCGAGATTCTTTTGTTGCTGACTTGAATTGCATTCTGAAGTGAATTCCCTTATTCTCCAGGTAGGCGCTTGATTGCCAATACTCGAACTGTCCTCCTTCGAAACTTGGACTGTCTTTCCCTTGTTCTCCAGGTGGGCGCCTGATTGTTGAACTTGAACCGTCTTCCTTTGAACATTGCTATTTTCCCTTTGTTCTCCAGGTGGGCGCCTGATTACCAACATTTGAATGGTATTCCTTCCCTCTAACTAGGAAGTGCGTCTCCTATGAATGAATTTAAATGACCAAAGCTAGGAAGTGCGTCTCCTAAAAAGTATAATTTGAAAGATCCCTACTAGGAAGTGCGTCTCCTAATGGGTAAAATTTGAATGACTCCAACTAGGACGTGCGTCTCCTAGGGGTGAATTTAAATGACCAAGACTAGGAAGTGCGTCTCCTAGGGGTGGAATTTCAATTTAGAAAATGTGTCTCCTACAACATAATATGACTTGAAAACCCAAACTAGGAAATGTTTCTCCTGGGGGTGATGTGTGATCTTCTCAATAGCTTTTGCGTAAGCAGAATTGGGGCATTAAACCTGAAAATTTCAAGCTTCCAAGCTTTGATATGAACCTAACTTCCGTCCCTATTTCAGACAAAGAAAACTTGTGATGTTAAACATGGTGGTTGGTTTGTGGCCTTGACTTTGCGGCGATTGCTCCTTCACTTGCCATGATAACTTTGATTTCAACTTGAAAGACATTGCTTGCTCATTGACTAAACACTTTCTCTGTCACCCTTATCACAGAAAATACCTCAGATCCGTTCAAACTCAATACCCTTTATCTGTTGCATTGCTCATGAATTGACTTATACCGAACCTTTGCATTTCACATGAATCCCAGAGCACGTTGATTGTCACCAACTAAGTGCGCTTGATGCTCTTTCTTTACTTATACCACTTTGATGTGCTAGCCAGACCCCGCTTTGTGCAATTGGAAAGCTGGTGGCAAATTTTGAAGTCATTTCTCACTTGTTCTGGCCAAACAGACTCAAGGAGAGGAAGTAAATAAAACAAAAGGAACAGAGTAAAGGACAATGGAAAGAGATGATTCCTAACAAGAAAATTACAAAGTAAAAACTTATCAGATGTGGACACCAACTCTATTGACCATAACATGCACCTTTGGATTAAGTGGCCTAATCTGTCAAGCAAGTCTAGTGTTCAACTCTTGTTGTACCACTTTGCCGTGAAACTGGGCTTCAATGCTCCGATTATCCTATCTGATTCATAATACTTTATTCGGCTTGCAGTGCCCGAAGGGTTTTCACCATCAAGCCTCTCTTATTTTGCTTTTTCTCTCAACTTACTGTCAGCTTATGATGCCTATGAAGGTTTTCACCGATAAGACTCTCTCATTTTTGTTTTTCTTGTGTAGAACGGAGTGTTGCCCCTGATGAGAATCATACCTCTAACTCTCTTGACTTGGCATTACTCAAAACCTGATCAGAAGGTCTTTCTTTGGACCGTAATGTAGGCTTTTGGATAGGATTAGAAACAAAGGGTATCATAAAGGCTCAAAAACGGCTTAAAAGGGCTCAAAATTACAACTTTTGGGATCAGATCTTTTACAACAACCACAACTTCTGACCCAGTTTCTTTGCTTGGGGACTTTTGAATTTTTATTTTGATGGGACCGAACCGTGAGACTGCCTACGTATCCTTAAAAGGAATCAGGTCAAATGTAGTTCATGGCATAGGAATTGTTTTGTTTTTGTACTTTTCTCTTTTTTTTTTCTTTTTTTTACTCTTTTGCCGTTTTTCTTTCTCTTTTTCTCTTTTTTTTTCTTTTCTCTCCTTTTTTTTCTTTTTTCTGTATCATATTTCTAAACTCTGCTTCTGATTCCAAAACACTACCAGAAATTGGAGCTATGACAACGCTTTTTATTGCTACAGATCATTAACCGTTGCTATAGATGGTGTATTGTTACGGTTTTAACCGTTACAAAAAATTATTGGTTTTATCGGGACACTTAGCAACCGAACCGTTGCAATAGTCTTAAAACCGTTCCGATAGAGGTATCTATGGCAACGTTTTGTATAACCGTAGCAATAAATTTATCTATGGTAACGGTTATATCTATTGTTACGGTCATTAATTCCCTCCTTATTTTTCACCCAAATTTTCTATACCCGCTAAAATTAAAGGCGCCCACAATCTGATTTTCAATTTTTATTTTTTAGCTTTTATATCTAATAAAATATTAAACCCCTAATTTTACTTTTCATATCGGAGATAACGAGATACAGAGGCGATTTCGGACTCGATCTCCTCCAGGCAATTTCGGACTCGATCTCCTCCAGGCAATTTCGGACTCGATCCAAGCTCATCCATCAACAGTTTCTTCAAATCTGAAAATCGTTAATTGGAAGGCTTAATTTCGGACTCCAGGCTCAACAATACCAGGCCAACAACAGAGCGACGTGCTAATTAATCCTTTAGAGTTTCTCCAAATCTGAAAATCGGTAAACAGCTCTCTTCTTTCGAGTTTTGATTTCTAATTTCTTGTTCTTTGTTGCAATTAAGTATGCATAATGGCCATCGCAAATCTAGTTTGATATCTTAACTCATGTGGGTGTTGAAGGCTTAATTTTTAGCAGTTTTTTTAATTTGTTTTTGTTTAAATTTCTGGGTTGTTTTTTGTGTTTTTGTTTAAATTTCTGGGTTGGTTGCTCGTGGGTTGGTTTTTTGTGTTTTTGTTTAAATTTCGGTGTTTCTGTAAGCTTCCTTCACATTATTTTGATAGTGAATGAAAAGGGCTTGTTGTTTAAATGGATGATATAAGTCGTGTGCAACTGAAAATGATTAGAACTTGTGTTCGTTGAAATCAAGCTGTCGAAGAGATGGGGTTGGTTACAGTGAGTTTATGCAAGCAGTGTCATCCATTTGTTAATTGGAAGTCATTCACATTCTTATAGGCCTCTGAAAAATGGCACTTCTTTCTGAAGGGACTGAGAATAGTCATTCTCCCCGTGAGGTATTGCATTTCGTCAAAAGAGACAGATAGTTTCATCTCGGGGAGAATTTGGATTGTTTATTCTCTTGATTAGCCTTGCGTCTCTCTGTGATTAGTTAATAACTCATTAAGATCCTTAAGATCCTTAAGGGACTGAGAATAGTCATTCTCCCCCTGAGGTATTGCATTTCGTCAAAAGAGACAGATAGTTTCATCTCGGGGAGAATTTGGATTGTTTATTCTCTTGATTAGCCTTACGTCTCTCTGTGATTAGTTAATAACTCATTAAGATCCTTAAGCTGATCTCTTAGCTTTCCTTATTAACACCTGATCATTAAGCTATGGTCCCTTATTAAATTGATCATCTTTCTCCTCCGACTTGGTTTCGCTGAGCTCTCCTGATATATGATCCTAAAATCCAAACTAAACTATATGAGTTGAGTTGCTGGTCAAATTGCTAGTCAATCCACATAACGGCAACAAGAGAAATAGTGAGCAGTAACAAGTTAACAACTTTTTCTTAAAATGGTGAACAAGACATGACAGAGAAACTGATTTCTTCTCCAATTTCTTTAGTAGTAACAACTATACCTAATATAAGGGAAGCATAACTGAAAGGGATATGCCCATAGATTACACAAAGCAGACTTAGAAACATGTAGAAAAATAGGAAATGGACTCATCAAGCTACTCTCTTAAGAAAAGAGAAAAAGTTCAAACTGGAAAATTACAGAGAACAACAGAAACATTTTAACAGTAGGCCGGCACTGCTTTGTTTCTTTCTTCATGGGTATCTCTCTATTTGTGTAAGTCCTACTTTACATATGTGTATAAAAAAGGTGAAAAGTTTCAGTTGCAATCTTGATATTTGTATCTCTAGTATTTTTTAGATGTAATAAATACATATGGGTTTGTTCCATATATGTGTTAATTACATGCTTTATACATGTATAATGCCATCAGTTTTCTCATACTATCATATTCTTGCGACTAAACTGCACAATGTAGCTAGTTGTAGGGAGGTGTGCTAGGATGAAATAGGTGTGTGCGACGTCTCTTATTGGTTACATTAGTTGATTATTTGTTCTGCTAGACATTTTAAACATCTTTTGAGATGTAATATCTTATTCTAATAGATGTTCCCTGAAAAGCAATTATATGTCATCAATTTTTTCCTAACACTTTGTATCGTGATTAATCCAGGCAGCTGTGACTTCAGCTGGGCTTTACTATTGGAGTGCTAAATTATCTGGAAACTACTTTGGGCCTATTTGCTTCTTGGATTACTGGGACTAGGGGTGAGCAATGACTTGTTAGTCTCAAATTTTGGTCATATTCTTGTGTTCATTAACATTGTTTTTGGTTGTGCAAGAATCCTTGCTGATATTTGTTGATACCTGCTGCAACTCAGCCATTGTCTGATGACTCTACCACTCTTCTTTTTGGCTGATTCATTCATCTCTTTTTGGCATATCACTTCTGCCATCTTGGAAAATCCCATTTGGCATTTTGATTTGAAATATTATTATGTTGTTAACCTATTTGATATTTGATTCAGAAATTACTTTAAAATGCTTTTGCTAACCTATTTCGCCTTTGCTCTTTTGAATCCGACAGAGATTTTGACAGTCATGAATCAAGAAGGGTGCTCACTTTAAATCAAAGGGATTTAAAGTTATGAGAATGACAAGCTTCGAATGGAGAATAGTCCGCTAGATGTTCCGGCGTCTCACTTTAAAGCTCTTCTTGAATATTGGAACTCCGATCCCGCCAAGGTAATTACATCCAACTTTTGCCAACTTTTGGTTGGAATAAACAAAGCTCCTGTAAATAAATTAGAAATTATTAGATGCTGGAATGCATGAGAAAGGGGATTACATGCCTTATTCACTTTTACTTCTACCTATAATTTGTCTTAGTATTAGTAGGTCAAAAAATTAGAGTACGTTCTATGAAGATCAAATCTCCATCATAGAGAAGCTATGTAATGTTGGCATAGCTCTCCTTTATAAAGTATAGATCTGTCGAAAAATGCATTAGATATTAGATATGATTTGCCTCTTACACTTTGTGCTGTTTGAATGTCTTGGCTTAGTGGCTTACTAGAAAAGTTGTCCTTAACGTCATTGTTACCCTTATTTAATTGTCAAGGTTTGAGATTCTGGAGTTTGCTGGATATGGTCTAAAAGTAGGAGTAATAGAAAACAAACATGGATGCTAGTTTCTTTGGTGTGTGTGGAGTAATAGAGTATATTGATGCTACGGCATTTTACCTGATTAGGTGAGTGACAAGTCCAGGTATGCACATTTTGCCTCAAAGTTTTCTTCCATATTACATAAAGTAGTCTTTTGATCTTTGAATCCATGCTCCTTTGGCATATACGGGATCACTTATTCTTCTTTGAAATCATACCATCACAGAGTACGTATTCCAGCACATATCATTTGTCTGTTTCTTAGTTATTGACTCAATTTTAGTTTCTTTTCTAATTTAAAATTGACTCAATTTGGTCTTGTAGGCTGAAATAGAAAGAATACAATCAACACAATGAAGTAGTGAAAATGACAGTCAATCAGTTGACGCGTATACATCAGTCATGGGACCTGAGCACCCAGGTTGCCTAAGATTGTATGGACGTGGGGTTACCAAAACGGCCTTAAAAAGAAAAGTGGGAGATTTTGGACCATCTTCAAGTTCTACTGACAAGAGGGGTTGCTCTGATGGTAAGCAACCCCCACTTCCAACCGAGAGGTTGTGAGTTCGAGTCTTCCCAAGAGCAAGGCGGGAAGTTCTTGGAGGGAAGGATGCCGGGGGTCTATTTGGAAACAGTCTCTCTACCCTAGGGTAGGGGTAAGGTCTGCGTACACACTACCCTCCCCAGACCCCACTAAGTGGAATTATACTGGGTGGTTGTTGTTGTTGTTGTTGTTCAAGTTCTACTGATGAGATGCAGCAAAAATTGGTCCATTAGTTTTGATGCAACGAATTCTCTGTCTTTACATAATAATAATCAAGCTTCTTTCTTTGTCCAGATCAAGTATCCATCAGCTCTCAACTCCTTTCAGCAAATTCTGAGGCAAGCAAGGAATAAACAGATAGTCATCTTCTTAGATTATGATGGGACTCTTTCTCCTATTGTTGATGACCCTGACCGTGCTTTTATATCCAATGAGGTAAATCCAAATCTCATATGAAACTAAGATGCTTATCTGTAGATATTCACACAAAATATTATATTCTGCAGATGTGCTCTGCTGTCAGGAATGTTGCAAGGTATTTCCCAACATCCATCATCAGTGGAAGAAGACGTGCCAAGGTAACTTTTTTGGTAATTTTATTAATGTTGATACCGTGTACTTTTTATATCTGTCTTCATTTGCAGTAGTGACTTGTGTCTTTATTGTTTCAGGTTTATGAGCTGGTAGGTCTAACTGAACTCGATTATGCCGGTAGCCATGGTATGGACATCATGCTGCTAGTCAAAAATGTCGTCTACTATTATTTAGTCTAGGCATTCCAGAGTCTTTTTATTTTTGGATCAATTTATTTAGTCTATGCATTCCAGATGAAAGGTAATGACTTTATTTATCCTCTTTTGTAGGTGGAGTAGATCAAGAAATAGAAGATGAAGGCAATGAAGATCTAGACCTTACTTAAGATGAATTTTGAATTGCTATAGATGAATGTTCTAGGAATCTTTTGTTGTCAACATTTTGAAACTTACTATCTTGAAATGTATTAAACTTATGCACTTGGATAGAACATTTACTTTTATCGATATTATTAGCTTGTTGGACGAGTTATATTATTAATAGTTTGATTTTGTGATTTATTTAAATTTTAATGTTATTATAATTTATTATATATATATATGAGCTATATTTCTGTTTTAAATGAATTGTTACAATAGCCTACCAGAACCGTTGCAATAGCACACAAATGGCATTCCAATAGATCTGGTAAACCGTTCCAAAATGCCCTCTAAACCGTTCCAATAGGTATTTGAAACCGTAGCAATACAAAAACAACTGTTACAATAGCTTAAAGAGACCGTTGTTATATCCATAAATAATCGTAACAATAGCTTACGAAAGTGTTGCATTAGATAATATGGTAACGGTTATGAGCCGTTGCATACCCATTATAGTAACGGTTTTAAACCGTTCCAATTGGAAGGAATAATCATTCCAATAGAGAAAGGGAAAACCGTTACGATAGATGTATCTATAGCAACGGAGATAAAAACCGTTCCAAGAACCGTTCCAATAGCTCTATTGGCACGCGAGCGGATGTGACGGTCTATAAACCGTTCCAGTATCGCTACGACAACGATTTATCTACCTACTGGAATGGTTTTCGATGCGTTGCCGTAGACCAATTTTTCAGTAGTGAAAGAAGGATATAAAAGAAAATAAATAAGGCTCAAAGGGGGTAACAAAGGATAAAGTGTTTAGATAGCAGAATAAAATGTCTTCATCATTCCAATCTTCAAAATATGCCAAGTATAAACAACAATTAGACAGACCAATAAATCATATATAATATCTTTTGACTGCATCAGAATTGATAGCCATATCTACACATTTTCCTTCTATGTCTGTTAAATATAAAGCACCATTGGATAACACTCTTGTTACAATGAACGGCCCCTGCCAATTTGGGCGAACTTGCCTTTAGCTTCAACCTGATGCGGCAGGATGCGTTTCAATAGTGTTTCTTTGTGTTCTATCTACCCCTGTTTCGCACAATTCGGGCTTTAGGTGATCTCAAAATGTCTTTACTTATTTCCCTCAAATGTCTCTATCATCTTCAAAACTGTTTCATTGCTTCATGACTAAACTAACTTTTAAGACCAGGATGAGAATTACGCGTGCATGTCATATCACTAGAGTCAGCAGGAAAAGAACTATAAAGGGAAAGAGAACTGAACAAGCACTGACTACAAATAACAGAAAACAGGAAATTGCATTAGACAGATGGTGAAAGGGTTTGAACAACAAAACAATTAAAATAAGTTGGGGTTACAACCCTGGAACAAAACCAGACAACACTAAACGAGCTACTACGAATAAACAAACTAGGCAAAATAAAGGATAGAAGGGTTTGAGTCACAAGACAATATCCGGATTACAATCCTGAAAATAACCCAGACAACAGAAATGACAACAAAATAAACCACCAAGACTCATCCCCAACTAGCCAAGAGATGGAGCGTCTTTCTAATTACCAAGCACGACATCTTAGCCACTGAGTTCCACATCAATATTGCCAAGACCATTACCAACTTCAATATCATTAACTTTAGTCAGCAAGTTCCCAAGAGGATTCGCGTACTCCCTGTCACTGTCCTCGATCACAATTATCCCTTTTTGAATCATTCTTTCTATTTCCCTTTTCAAAGTACGACAATCTTCAATGCTATGCCCTTAAACATTAGAGTGGTACATGCACCGTACAGTAGGATCAAATCCTTTTGCATATGGGGTCTAGAGTATAGCCAAGGAGCGGCTCAATCAGGCCAGAATGCTTTAACTTTTCAAACAAGCTTGTGTAGGACTCCTCGATTGGCGTGAAACTATTTCTTTGCCTTTGTTCCCCTCCTTGCCCCTATTTTCTAGGGTTGTTGGGTGCTCGAAAATGTTGTAAAGGCAAGAATGCATTATGCGGTGCTGGCGCTCGCTATAGGGAGTGAACTGGTGGTTGGACAGATGACCAGACATTGTTTGGAGGACAATACTGAGGTGGATTATGTGGAGCTCAGGGATAGGTCTGGGGTTGGGCTTGAGGCTAGGTATATTGGTGAGGCGGACCCTTTGGACCATGCCGTGACTCTGAAACAACCATGGCAACATCATCGTGTTCCTTCTGACCCATCAAGCTTCCTGTGTCGTTCTAAATTGCTTGTATTGTTGCTTTTAAAGCAGAATAGCTCATGATCTTGCTCGACTTCAACTCATCTTCTACCATTTCTCCCATTATTACCACATCATTAAAAAGCCTACCCACAGCCGTGATCAAATGCCCAAAGTAAGTTGGCTCTTGAGCTTGAAGAAAGTACTCAACCATCTCTTTTTCTTTCATCGGGGGATTGACTCTCAGGGATAGGTCTGGGGTTGGGCTTGAGGCTAAGTATATTGGTGAGGCGGACCCTTTGGACCATGTCGTGACTCTGAAACAACCATAGCAACATCATCGTGTTCCTTCTGACCCAGCAAGATTGCTTGTGTTGTTGCTTTTAAAGCATAATAGCTCATGATCTTGCTCGACTTCAACCCATCTTCTACCATTTCTCCCATTTTTACCACATCATTAAAAGGCCTACCCACAGCCGTGATCAAAGCCCAAAGTAAGTTGGCTCTTGAGCTTGAAGAAAGTACTCAACCATCTCTTTTTCTTTCATCGGGGGATTGACTCTGGCAGCTTGCTCTCTCCATCTGAGCCCGTATTCCCTAAAGCTTTCAATAGACTTCTTTTCCATCTTGGTGAGGGATATGCGATCTGGGACAATATCTATATTGTACTGAAAGTGCCGGGCAAAGACCTAAGCCATATCGTCCCATGTGTACCACTTGCTAACGTCTTGGCGGGTGTACCACTCCAGAGCTGCCCCACTTAGACTCTGACTGAAATACGCCATCAACAATTTGTCTTTCCCACCGGCGCCTCTCATTTTATTGCAGTAACCTTTCAAATGGGTCGCGGGATCTCCGTGCCCGTCATAAAAATCAAACTTTGGCATCTTAAACCCAACATGCAGTTGGACGTCAGGAAACAAACACAAGTTTTTGTAAGACACGCTCATCTGGCTCCCTATCCCTTGCATGTTTCTTAAAGACTGCTCTAAGATTTTCACCTTCCTGGATATCTCATCTTGCCCCACTGTCTTAGCAGGCTTTTCAATTTTACAAGGAGGCTTAAAATGAGGAGCGTGAGAGTATGGATCCGAGACTTTGAAAGTTGGTTCTGGAGCATAGTGTTGGGCATCGAGGACTTTGAACACAGTCTTGTTAGAGGATCGAGGAAAAGTAGCTGGTGGAGGAGCTACAAAAGCATGAGTGGCCAAAGTAGAGAGCTATGAGGTGGTTTTGGCGGGTGGAGTGTGAAAAGATTGCAGGGAGACATCAGCAACAGTATGGAGCTGGATTTGTGATAGTGGTGGGATAGTTGCAGGGTTTACAATGTAGTTAGTGGGGAATGAAGGTGGAGGATGCCCCCTGATCCAAGAATGGTACATTTCTACCATCTGCTATTTCAACATTTGGACCTCCCTTTTCAATTTAGACTCTGACTTCACAAACTCCCTCGACGGGTCAACAACTCTTGTGTCCAGGTCTTTGCTAGTCATGACTACCTTGCTCTTTGACCTTGTATTGTATGGATGAGTTACCTTAAGAACCACAAACCAACCACCCTTCTGCTCAATGGAGATAACAAAAAGGAACAAAATGAGGTCATTACGTTAGCGTTAGGGCATTTAACAGCTGCAAATATCACATTGTGTGCAATGCACCTAGCAACAATTAACGGTTCAAAAATGACTTCGAGGGTCACAAGGTCACTTGGCATCATCCCAATTTGTTCATTTCAATCTTCTCTTTTCTTTTCTTTTCTAGCGCTTCTTGGCTTGCTCATTTTCTTTCCTCTTTTTTTTTCTAATTATCACTCTTTTCTTTCCTTTCATTTCTCACATCCCATAATTTCACCCTTTTTTTTCTATCTTTTTTGTTTCCTTCTTTTTTCCTCTTTCTTTTAAAGAAAATGGTTCGATCGAACCCTATGTAGGTTGCCTACGTATCATGACGCCACATGAATCAGATCTTTGCATAGTTCGAGAAGATCGGGAATAAAGTAAATGACTAACGTTCTCTTTTTTTTAACCTTAAAGACTATTCTGATGAGAAAAGAGAAATAAAAGAAGCAAAACCCCTTTTTTGAATTTTCTAGGCTTAACGTTCTATATCTTATTCTAAACTCAAGCTTAAATGAGCAAATATTTTTTTTTTTTTTGAAACATATACTCTATGAGAAATTATTAAGGAAAAAGCCCTGCAAGAGAAAAATATTTTTTTATTCCTTTTTTAAGAAAGAAATCTAAAGAATAAACCAAAGAAAAATATTTTAAATTTTCATTTAATATCCCTGAAAAAAGATTTCGAAACGAGAAATGAACAAGTTAAAAAATATTTTTGGATTTCAGTTTTTGATTACCTAAGGAAGAAACTCTGAAAATAAACCAAAGATAAAGTATATTTTTTTTTCTTCTATGTACAATATCCTAAAGTTCTAATGAAAATAAGAAAAAGTTTTTTTTTTCATTAATTTCCCAAAGAAGTACATCAAAATAAAATCTTTTTGGATTTTTGGAATTAATACCTTAAAGAAAACTTTTTAAAGAGGTACTAAAAGAAAATTCTTTTTTTTTTTGAATTTTTAGTCTTAATGTACCAAAAGGAAGTATAATAATAATTTTTATTCTGAGTTCTAAATATTAACTTCCTAAGGAAATCCACCTCAAAAGAATTATTTTTTTTTAATTTTTAGAATTAGTATTCTAAAGAAAATATCTAACAAAAATATAAAAACGCTAAATCTCTTTTTTTTTTTTGATTTATTACACTTTTTTTTTTCCAATACAAAATAGGAAATACAATAACAAAAAACTCGACATTACTGTACAAAACTAGAAGGTAAAAGACGATACAAAAAGAAAAACATACTCAAAACATAAAAAACAAAAAAAATCTCCTTAAGCCACTTCTGATCGAGCGATCCTGACTAGATGGTCTTGGGGCGTCTGTCATGCTCAAA